TATATATATATATATATATAGAGAGAGAGAGAGAGAGAGAGAGAGAGAGAGAGAGAGAGAGAGAGAGAGAGAGAGAGAGAGAGAGAGAGAGAGAGAGAGAGAGAGAGAGAGAGAGAGAGAGAGAGAGAGAGAGAGAGAGAGAGAGAGAGAGAGAGATTATGAACTTAAAACAAACTTGATAATCATAAATTCATGCACACAAACTTGAAAGAAGAAATAACAAACAACAATGAAAGTAATTAACAATGATAATGAAGATTAATTAATTAATTAATCATAATTTGGCACTTAACTATACAAATACGAGATGGCTGAAACAGCATTAAGAATCATAAGCAGCAAAGCTCCAATTAAGGAGGCGACGATGGCCAAACCCCCACGGACGCAGAATTGACCAAAACGGTCGCAAATTGGGCTCCATCTTGCACTAAAATTACCATTTTTGCCAAGCTCCGCCATTGATGTAGCAGCAGCAGCGCCGGTGGCCACCAGGGCAAAAATGGCCTGCTCAAACAAGTCATAATATTTCTCATTATTTCTTTTTTTTTATTTACATATATACCAATAAATTATTTTGTATTTGCATATCTAGCTCTGAAACTTGAATTTTTTTGCATATAGGTCAGCTTTCCTTTAACTATATATGAAAATATATATTTCATTTTATAAAAGTTATATTGTCCGTTTAGAGCAGCTTATTTGGTGCGGTGGCGTTCCGAAAATGCACATGATCTGTTTGGCTAAACTGTGTTTTGACAGCATATGCGTTTTTAAAACGCTGAATACAGTGTTTTCACACCACACCTATCTAGATGCGGTGACAGCTTTCTAGCACCAATCGGGCTTTTCCAAAAAAATAAAAATTTGTAATGGCCACCGTGCCTAGCTTATCAGCAGATTATTCAATAAGCTAATAAGCTGCAGCTGCCCCAAACAGACTCTAAGTGATATTTTTGATGTGATATGAAAGATATAGGTGATAAAAATGTAAAAATCAAAGTTTAGCTGTTATTTATGTAAATACATAAGAATTAGGTGATATATTTTGAAAATTAAGAAAATTTATATTTTAAAGGGGCATTTATAAGATAGTATGTGCGTAAAAATTGAAGTTTAGGTGGTAGATATGTAAATAGATAGGAATTGAGTGCTATGAATTTAAATCTTCAATGTAAAGGGTATGTTTATTCAGTTAAGTACAATTAATTGTAAATAAGGCACTTTAATTTAATTTTATTTGCGTAGTTATTTTAGTTAGGCTTATTTCTTGATGATTCTTATGGCAATTTTGCTTTTCTTCTGGACTTATTTGTAATAATTATGGATTTTTCACTCTAATAATAATTAAAAAGGTATTTACATCCATACCACCCAATTCCTACGTATTTATATATCTATTTACATCTAAAATTTAAATTTTTACATTTATACCACCAAATCATCTATACCATATAGATATACCACTATTTTAGCTTAAAAATGCAAAATATACCTTTTCATGCATATATAGAAATGGTGGCATGTATGTAAAAAATTAAGTTTAGGTGTTAGATATGTAAATACATTGGAATTGAGTGGCATTAATGTAAATCTTCCAAATTAAAAATAATTATATCATGATATACTGATATAATTCTTTTATATAACATGATATAAGTATCTTATAATGGAATTAATAATTAAAATAAAAATTTTAATTATCTAATTATAATGGAATTAATAATTAAAATAAAAATTTTAATTACCTAATTAATCTCTCTCTCTCTCTCTCTCTTCTTTTCTCTCTCTCTCTCTCTCTTTCTCTCTCTCTCTTCTCTTATTGTATAAGGATCTTATAAATAGATTAATTATATAATTAAAACAAAAAAAAAAAATTAGGAGAATTTGCACACATACAATCCAATTCATATCTATTTGGTTCGTTTGGGGCAACTCGTGCGTTTCAGGATAAACTGTTTAAAAAAAAAAATTAGGAGAATTTGCACACATACAATCCAATTCATATCTATTTGGTTCGTTTGGGGCAGCTCGTGTTTGAGGCAGCTTGTGCGCTTCAGGATAAACTGTTTATCCTGAAATGCGGCCCGCGGGCCGGCTGCAGAGGGCGACCCGCGACCTGCGTTTCGTGTAAAAACCCAAACGCTGTTTCGGATAAGCTGATAAAATGCGTGAAACCAAACGGTACGATGGCGTTTTGAAAACACCGCCCGCACTTATAAGCTACCCCAAACGGACCATTAGATATCTAACCCCTATTTTTCTTGTAACATTTATACCGCCAAAATCTTCATATCACATCAAAAAAGTCACAATTTTAATGTTTAAAATGTGAATACACATTTTCATTCATAACTAAGGCGGCATATATCGTGAATGAATTGAAGTTTAGGTGTCAGATATGTAAATACATCGGAATTAAGTGGTATATATGTAAATCTTCCAAATTTTGAATATTGCATTTAAAACCAAGCTATAGAGAGGTGATTGATAGCTAGGGAATTGTTACCAAGTCCATGAGCTTCATTCCAACATGAAATGCCTTCCAATGACTAAATGAAAATCCAAGAGCAATTGCCACCAAGTTGTAGAAGCCACCTATTGCATTAGCTACAATAAAAAACCTGCAAAATTTATTACACAACAAATTTAAAACAAAAAACAATATTGCAAAAACAAGACTTGTGAAACCATATCGCAAATAGTTAATTATGCGTGCCGGCTCGCTCACTCGATCACTAACTAAACATATAGTTGTGTGTCGCTACTGGAATAATGTTACTTTACGACCAATCCAATCACAAATGGTTGATGAATCATCTCCATGGTCTATTCTCATTTCTTTTCGCTCCCGCACCATTCAACTAGCCTTATTACTCTTCTCGTACGCAAGTGTCTGCGCACACGCTCGATCATTAAGTACTAGATTTACAATGATGTGTCACTACTAGAAAAATGTTACTTTTCTCTCTCACTCCCTTCAACCAACCTTACGACTCCTCTTCGATGCGAGTGCTTGCACGCTCACTCGATAACTCACCAAATCTACAACGGTGTCACTACTAGAATAATATTTCTTTGAGACCGAGTACAAACTCCACCACATTTTGTCCTCATTTTAGTCTGTTCTCTCCCCCTTCAACCAGTCTCGCTCGCTCGCTCGCTCGTTGGATTTACGACGGCATGCGCCAGAGATAGAGGAACAAGATGAGTATGGGGAGCTCACACAAAGGCAGGAATTTGGTGGAAATTTGCAGTGTAGGTTTGGAAGATGGTGGTGGTTCCAACAATGGCCACTGCTCTGCTAATTGATTGCTTGTTGCTTCCCATAACAAGTGCTGCTGTTAATGTTGACATTATTATTGCAAGCCTCAGTAGCAATAACACTATTTTCATCCATTTATATCTTTTGTTTGGCTCTGTCATTTGCAGCACTGTCTCAGCTTTGGTGCCATTTTCAATGGCCATTTTTAGTGAGAGAAATTGATGAGATAGAGAGAGAGA